GGAGGTTTCCAGGTGGTTTCGGGGATGGGGGAGGTGAGGTGATTTCAAGGGAATAGAGGTAGAAATCGAAGGGGGAGGGGAACGGTTGGTCGCCGACGCCAAAAAGGGGGAGGGGTCTGGGTGGCGGCGACGCCGGCGCCGGCAAAGGGAGGGGCTGGATGGGTTGCTGGTTCGGTGGGGAGGGTGGGGTTTTTTTTTTATTTTTTATTTTTAAATTTAAGTTAATTATTTAAAAAATAATAAAACTAATTGTGGTTAATGATTTTAACTAAAAAGATGTTAACCATGGTTTAATATTAACTAAATTGCTTTATTAAGTTCACTATTGAAAATTATAATAAATTAAAGTTTACCAAGGATAATAAATTTTTTTTGCAATTTACCATTGAGAAAATTAAAAAGTTTAGCGTTACCATTGAGAATTTTCCAAAATAATTTAATTTAATTTTACTTTTGTAGAAATAAATTTTAATCAATAAAAATTGGCAACTTCAAATATAAATTAAAAATAATAAAGAATCAATAAAAATAATTTAACTTCAGTAAAAAATAATTAATTTCAGCATAACTAATTTTAGTTCATCGAAATTCTAATCCAGCAAATATAAGGTGAAAAAAATAGAGAGTATTATGGATTTATTTATACACTCTTGTTTAGGAATGCCTATAATAATTTGAGTCATCATTAATAGCTCTAATAATCTTCGTTGATATAAAACTGTGCTTAGATAATAGCTCATCTTTACCAACACCAACACATTTTGCATTTTGCATTTGATATCATGGTAATACGCAATGCGTACCATATAAGAATATTTTTAACCACAAATCTTACCTTGTTTTTTTTCTTAACAAATAGTGGATATGCAAGTTTTTAAATTACTACTATTATTATAGGCAAATCAACTTGTATAAACAACTAACTAAAACAAGGTCAAATTATAGTTTTAATAATTTATATCAAAGTTATAAATTTATAATTACTATGGATATTGCTAATGTGCTCCGTAGAGAATAAGAGAGGCATATGATCACATATTTGTTTGACTCGCAAAAAAAAAAAAAAAAAAAAAAGACATAAAAATAAAACTTATACAAATTTTCTTTGCAAACATTTTTGTTATGAAAAAAATACTATAAACATAAAGCTTCCAATTATTAACACAATATTCTTAATTCCATTACAAGATAAATGCGAGAGATGATACTAGTATACTACTCATAATAGTGTAGAGCTGTGCTTGGTATTTGTAAAACTAAAGAATCATCTTGTTGATACTGTCATTTTATAAAGTTCCCAAAGAGAGAAGAGTTAGTGATTAATTACTTATTAATTAATGGTTAATTAATATTGGGAACCAGGTCATGCCAAGAGTGGCAGCGAATACGTGGGCCCTACCACATTGAGATTCTGCATAAAAAATAAAAAGCATAGTCAACCATGTCCACTACATGATAACCGTAGGATTACATTAGGGTGATCCAACGATTGAGTGAAGAGCTACCGATTATACAGGTCTCCTGAATGCATGACCCAAAGTTTTTTAAAGTTGGTCAACAGTTTTGGAGAATAGAAAATTAATGACTCAACGTGAACGCCACTTTTTTCTGGTCAGCTTACTTTAATTATTTTACTGTTTTTTTTTTTAACCTTTTATTTACAAGTACGGAGTATTTTTATTTCCTTTTGTGCATATAGTTTAGGCCAGGGAAAGATCTTTCAAGGCCTAGCCCTAAGCCCTTCAAAAAAAAAAAAAAAAAAAAGGGTCCGGCCCTAAGAATTGTGTTAACCCAAACTTAGTTAACCTTTTTTAAAGCTTAATTTTTGGTAATTTATCCGTCTTATAATTTACATCTATCTATTTATATACTATCTACTAAAGTAATCACCAAAATTATTCTAGAAGTACACGTGTTGCGATTATATTAAAAAATTTCCAGCCAAAAACCTTTTTTTTTCCTTAAAAAATAATAAGATAATTAATAAAAAAAATATAAAGCATACATAATAGAACAATAACAACTTTAATAAAATATTAAAAGTATACAAAATCTATAATAAATACAAGCTTATATAATTATAATTTTTTTTCTCGTGAACATCCGACCGTTGCTCAGGCAAAAAACTAGTTGCTTAATAAGTGGAGATAGGAAGCTAGAGTAGTTGGCTAGTTTGTCTCTGTAACAATTTTCTATTTTTATAATTTAATTTATTTTTTTAAAAAATTATTATATTCTACTAATAGACAATTATAGATATTAATGGTAAAATACAAAAAAAATGTCTCAGACTCCCAGTATGTGTGTCTGTCAAGCGTTGTAAATTGATTTTACAAAAAAGTACACGCTCCTTACATTCATCGGAGTATGTCACTTTCCTTTTTGTTTAGTTACTTATTTAAGTTAATACATTTTCTCGCTTTTATTTTTGGCAAATTATTTACACTAGCTACATTCATAAATTCAACTAAGGGCCTGTTCATATTTACTTATTTTCAGTTCAGCTCCAATCAGTTCAGTTCAGTTCAGTTCGGCTCTAATCAGTTCAGTTCAGTTCAGTTCAACTCAGTTGTTAATTTTCATAAACATTTTCATATATTTTTATGCATTTTAATTTTTCAGTTCAGTTCAGCTCCAATCAGTTCAGTTCAGTTCAGCTCCAATCAGTTCAGCTCCAATCAGTTCAGCTCTAATCAGTTCAGTTCAGTTCAGCTCAGTTCAGTAAATATGAACAGGCCCTAAATTATAAAAATTGTTTACTTTTTTTCCCCGTTTATAATATCTTTTATCTAAATTAATACATGTACATACTTGTAATATTTCCTCAATTTTTCATATTAGATGACGCATCTCATTTGGACACACTTGCCAATGTATACTCTTTTTTTTTTTTTGAACAAATGCCAATGTATATAATATAATTATATAACGCTAATATCCCGTACATATTAGCAAAAATTTGATATTCAAAGATTAAAAGTTGAGATGATATAACAAGGCCCTACATGACTTAATTTTTTTAACACGAAATTACACATTTTGTGAATAATTAAATTCAAATTGTGTTATCAAATGTGGAATAAAGGATTAACTACTCCATAATTCAAAGGAAAATTTGAAAAGGATAATCCCACCTTTCGCTCATCTGCTCAAAATAATCCCACCTTTTCGAATTCCAAAAATAATCCCACCTTGTAACCCCATCTTCTCAAAATGAATCTTTTTCATTTAATGACCGGTTGTTTGCATTGGTAACTTGTTTTAAAAAGTAATCTGACACATGTCACCTTTTAATTGGTTTTTAAAAAATTAAAGAATTATTTAAAAAATTAAAATAAAAAAAAATTAAAAAAAAACCCTCTTCTTCCTTCCCCTGCCACTCTGCCATAGCCCCTTCTCCCTTACCACCATCACAACAAATCCTAAACCCCATCACAACCAGTCGCTGCGCCTTACCACTATCACAACCCACCACCACCGAACCCACACACACCAAATTGCCACCAATCACTTGAATCGTCTTCGACCCGTAACCAATCGCACACAAGAAGTTAACATAATCCGGATCCGCCATTGAAGTGCCGTACAAAATGTTGAACTCTGATCTCCGGTATCCACGTCTAACCTGGTGGGACCCACGGCTTCGGTCCAACCCGCGAGAATGTAAACTCTGGGTGCAATCAAATCGGGTTTTCATATCTCTGGGTTAAAACCGTTTGGTCCTCTACCGGAAAATGACGCAACCACCGGCGCCGGTTTGATTCTGACGACGACTCCATTAAAGTTGATTGTTGCTTTCGGTGATTGTGTTGCAGCGTAAGCTTTGATTAAATCTCCTTCGTCGGATCCAACACCAACAGCTGGGATCAAATGCGCGTCACCTACTAATCCCACACCGTTAGATGCTCCGTTAGCGAGAATCGTTACAATACCACCAGCTTTCTGAACAACCACCGATGGGATGGGGCGGGGATGGGTTATAGTGATGGTGGTGGTGACGGCGGTGCCAATGGTGGGGCTGGGTTACGGTGTTAGGGGATTTTTTTTTTTTTTTTTTTTTTTTTGCCTTTGTTTTATTATTTGTACAAAAAAAATAAAATTACCTGTTGAAACGATTGTAGGTAAAAAGGTTTATTCTGGGAAGATGGGGTTACAAGGTGGGATTATTTCTGGAATTCGAAAAGGTGGGATTATTTTGAGCAGATGGGCGAAAGGTGGGATTATTCTTTTCAATTTTTCCTAATTCAAAAGTAAAAGAAGTAAATTTTCCTTTTCCCAATTCAATATGCATAAACTACTTAATGTATAGGTTTCGCATGATTGAATACTACATTTTTAACTCAAGTTTCATTAGAGAAATACTTCCTATGTTTTTTTAGTTGACATATTTTGATTCAAAATTATTCACGCACTTTGCTTTGACAGGTTTTGTGATTTATATGTAATGAAAAATACAGGCTTAGTGAAATCTTATTTGATTCGACATGATACATATTTTAAAATATTAACCTTTTAAATTATTGGTTATCGATCATTAAAAATATTAATAACGTAGGGCCTGTTCTGATTTACTGAAATGAGCTGAACTGACCTGAACTGTTTATGAGAGAAGTAAATTAGATACTTAACTAAACTGAATTGAAATTAAGCCGAAGTTCGATAATATGTATCTTCAAATGAAAAAAAAAAAAAACAAATTAAAGGGAAAAAATTCTTCAAAACTTCGAGAAGACTTCCATATGAATGAATAAAATAAAGGTTCGAGAACATGCTGTAATTTGTGAAATTAACTGTTCCGAGTAAAAAAACATATTGAAAAATTGTTGAATAAAGAATAAAAAAAAGAAAAAAAGAATAGTCAATAAGTGAAATAGCGAAGCAAAGTCGCATCTACTTTAAAAAAGAGAAAAAAATCAAAATGGCAATCTCAACAATTTGACTTACAAAAGAAATAAAGTAGAGTAATAGCAATGTGGGGCCCAGCACACGGCTTTTTATCATATGTCGGGGTGTGTGTATTACCGGCTCACCCGGTCACACCCTTTGTTCCTCCCTCTATATCTGTGATTTCTCCTCTTTCCCCCTTCTTCTTCATTCCTTACTCCCTCTCTTTCTCTCTCCTTATTTCCCTTCCTTTTTAGCAGCCCAGAAACTAGATACCTTCTAAATCATAAATACAAATTAAAATGGAAGGCTATAATTATAGATCCAGAAAGATGGAAGAAGAAGTAGCAATCGAAGAGGCGGCATCAGCTGGGGTGAAATCCATGGAACATTTCTTACGCCTCTTATCACAACCTCAACAACAACAACATCAACAGGAATTTGAGTGCAGAGAAGCTACCGAAGCTACCGTTGGTAAGTTTAAGAGACTCATCTCTGTCCTTAATCGAACTGGTCATGCTCGTTTTCGGCGTGCTCCTACTCTTTCTCTCTCCTCTGACTCCTCCAACTCCTCTGACTCTCCTTCTCCTTCTACCTTCCAATTCACCAAACCTTCTACTCCAACACCTACTCTTACTCCTACCCCTACTCCCACTCCCACTCCCACTCCACCACCTGTTTGTCAACTACAACAACAACAGCCAGAAAAACCCATCCCCTTGAGGGCTATTCGTCACCACCCTGTCACTCTAGATTTCTCCAAACCTAATCCTAACCCCAACCCGAAACAGTGTGGATCGGTTTCGAAATCGGCGTCGTTTAGCATATCATCATCGGCGAATTCGTCATCGTTTTTGTCTTCAATTACCGGAGAAGAAACCGTGTCAAATGGTAAGCAGTTCGGAAGCGGTGCTCGATCTATGTTTGTACCACCTTCATCATCTGGAAAGCCTCCACTTTCCACGTCATCGTCCTCTCATCATAACAAGAGCTGCAATCATCATCGCCACCAACACAATGAATTTTCCGATGATATTTCCGGTAAAGCGTGCGGGTCAACTCGGTGTCACTGCTCGTCAAAGCGTAAAAAGTTGAGGGTCAAGAAGACAATGAGAGTTCCGGCGATCAGTGCTAAAACCGCGGATATTCCTTCCGATGATTACTCCTGGAGGAAATACGGGCAGAAACCCATCAAAGGATCTCCTTACCCAAGGTATTATTTCTTTATTAACTAATTAAAAATTAGATATTTTGGTTTAAAAATAATGTGGTTACTAATGATGGAAAATGGATCAACAGGGGATATTACAAGTGCAGTACAGTAAGAGGATGTCCGGCGAGGAAGCATGTAGAAAGGGCAACAGATGATCCGACGATGTTGATTGTAACTTACGAAGGAGAACACCGTCATTCTCCTGCACCCGCAACACAGGATCACAACTTGCAAGTGGTCCCCACCACCGCTGCACCGGCATGGTTTCAGCCTCATCATCACCCTATTTTGACTTTGTCTGATTGATTAAAACTGTTGTAGTAGTGGGTGTGTAAATTACTGCTATGACCAATGACTCAATCAGGTTAGGTTCTGAGATAGGCTTAGTAGTGTAGGGGTAAAATGGGAAAAGGGCAATGTGAGGGTATCGATGTAAATTTGGTAAAAGACAAAAAAGAGAGACGTGAAATGAGGAGTCTATGTGGTGGGGTTAGGTTAGTAGGTGGAAATTGGTCAATTGATTCTCAGTAATTGTAATTGTAATGGTGGGGGATGTTATTAAATGCTAAGTTTGACTTTTTTGTTCTCATCTTCATTTTTCCATGTGTCATATTCATATGCGTTGAATTGTCATTGTTTTTTAATTTTATAACCTTCCGGAATCAATTACTCTATTTGACTTTTCACGTTCTTTCATTTGAGTCTTAAACAATTGATTTCTTTGAATCAATTAAACATAAAATGTGAGTAAAAGTATTTAATTGTTGTAAATAATATAGACTATAAAATGGATGTAATATAATTTTTATAATTATGTATGTAAATTACAGTAGTTTGTATCTTAAAATTAAATGGGTAATTTTTTTGAGATGGTGGATAATTATTTATAAGGGGGTGGATTTTTCTTTGATACAAAGACAAGATTCGTAACCCGTGGAATACGCCAATTCACGAAATGAATGGACATCATTCCATTGACTCAACTCTAATAAATACAATTAAATGCTCTTCTCTCCATTCCATTCTTCTTCCAACTATGATACGGAATATGATATTGATATTTATTGGCCTTTTGCAAAGTCAATATCACATTTGGTGGTTGATGAATTCAAAGGGTAGACCAAAACTATATACTTGTACCTTACAACCATTAGTGCAAATCTGCAATGTTGTACTCCCTTCACAATTAAATAAGTGTTATGTCAATATAAAATTTTGACGGATTATATCTTTAATATCAATAAGTAAAATAACTGTAATTAAATATTAAATAAATTACTATTGAGATAATTCCAACAAGTACCACAATTTAAATACGACAACTAAAATGAACAGTTAAAACATTTCACTTTTTTAAATACGGAAATCAATTAGTTAGTAGTATTCAAATTCTAATACTTTAGTAACTTATAAACTCTAATGACATATTCCTCAAATTGTCCTATTTTTATACACTATTATCAATTCTACAATTGTTTTTTGATTGTTAGCACAATTTTTAAAAGTTTTTAATTGATTTTTGTATAAACTAGTTTAAACCCTGTGCAACGCACGGTTTTTACTTAATCAAATTATGAATTAGTGAATTATAATTTAATACAACAATTATTTTTAATTGAAAAAAATACTTGAATTTCTTTTCCAAAAAAAAAAAAAAACACTTGAATTAATATTATATTGTTATCATAAGTTATTGATTATTAAACATTAAAAAAAAACACAAAAATTTAATGATTATAGTGTTTTATATGAGAATGCAATTTATAATTATAACCCGTGCAATGTAAATTATATACCCATATGTCCCTATTTTGTTGGCATGTTTTGACCGGCACAATATTTTATAGCATACTATAACTTGCACAATGTTTTACAAATTTAATTGACTATTTTTAATGAAAATTAATAATCATGATTTTTTTAATTTTGTTTTATATTTATGTTTATAGTTATTGAATTGTAATGTTATTACTCCGTATTATAAAAAAAAATCAATAAATATATAATAATAGCTAAAGTATCAAATCCTAGTTAGAGCAAAAAAACTTTCAAAGAAAAAATATGTTGTAGAATGATACGAAGTACGGGAGTAGTACATTTTATCATTCTAATATATTACCTTATTATGTGTTTGTTTATTATAGAAAAATACCTATTATAAAAACATGAAAGATATGCATATAGAATATATTTCGTATATAGTTGCCAAATTGAAAGTTAAATATTATATGATATATAAAATAATATTAATGAAGATTTTGTCCCAAAAAAGAAAAAAAATGGAAAGAAAAAAGTGGCGGGAAATTTTTTAATCAGAACATGACAAGTGTGATGTTAGATTCGCTTGTAGTATTATGTAATTGATACTATACTTGTTTTAGATATGCTATTTGTCCAATGGCAAAACATTTAGCATTTGGGTGGAACAAATCAAAGGCCCAATAAATGAAATTGAACCCAACTCATCAAAACCCAAGACTTGAGGATAAAATTGTCAAATTAAAAAAAAAAAAAAAAAAAAAAAAAAAGATGGGAATATTGACACTGCCTTCATTGGTAAGGTTAAAGGCATCAATACCATTACCAGCAAGATTGAATTTGTTGTCTGACAGAGAAAAAGCTCAGTGCTTCTGCAAATCTGGTTTACAAAACACTCAACTGACCGCCACCGCAACACGGCGGAGGATGAGCGCAGATGCAACTGTAGATTCGTCGGAGACGGCGGCGGCGGAAGATGTTGTGGTCCAATACGTGGTGTTAAGGAGAGACCTGATTGACACGTGGCCTCTTGGGAGTGTGGTGACACAAGGATGCCATGCTTCTGTTGCTGCTATTTGGGAGCACAAAGATGACCCTTCTACTCTCCTCTATTGCTCCCCTCCTGCTCTCGATTCTATGCACAAGGTATTTCTCAATTGTCATTACTTTATTACGAATTGCTTCATCATATATTATAATGTATGTTCAATTGAAATGTTTTGGTCCGAATGAGTCGCAAGGGCATTACAAATTACAAAAGAGGTAAGGAGATTTGAATCTATGATCTATCGTGTAGGGTTTTTATGACATGGAAATTTGTGATTATAAATTTGTTAATAAAATGTTTACATTAGCTTAGTGTTGGTGTAATAAGATTTATGAGGAGGGAATGTTAATGAGTGGTATACTTGGATGATGGGCAGGTTACACTGGAAGTTAAAGGGGAAACTCAAATTGTGAATCTTTCAGAAAAGCTCAAGTCTGCTGGGATTTTACACAAACTATGGATCGAGCAGCCTGAGAATTATCCAACATGCCTAGCCACTAAGCCATATCCTAAATCCGTGGTATCGCCTTTTTTTAGAAAGTTGAAACTTTGTAAGTGATTGTTGTTAATCTTATAGGATATGGTTACCTGTTCTAACTTCTCAGCTCAACTTTGAGTCATACAATTTCTAGCTACGTTACTGCAAACAATTGTTTGGCTTATTACATTCATAAATAACATTTCTTGAGGTTTTACAAATCCACTGAATGAAGGAGTATGGTCAAGTGACAAAAATTGAATGTGTTTTTTGAAATTAATTGCACACAATTGTTTGGCATGTCCGCATATACATAAATATATTACTCTGTGTATATAGATATTTAATCTGGCTGTAGTCTTTTGCAGAGTTTGTTTACATGCAAAATAAAACTCTGTGCTTATTAGTTATAACCATAATTACTTAACATCCACCTAAGAGATGACATCACGGAATCATCTTATCCCTGGTCTTCATATGATGTGGAGAATGTGTTGCATGCCACTAAGTTCTATTCAACCATGTAAGTGCTGCACAGATCACACGTGGCGACTTAGTTAGATATTAACAGACTGATAGAAATGCATTATGTACTGAGAAATGTGAGCTAGGTAATGTACTTGTTATCTTAGGATGAGGATGTTAATCTAGCCAAGGCGCCAATAGCAAGAGAGTTAATATAGGTACAGGGTTCTTCCATGTTCCCAATGTGACGCCGGTCTTCAAAATTGTCACTCTTGTCTGGACCACCGACAATGGCACCAGTGAGCTCGTTTGGGTTTGGAGCATTTTTGGTGAAATAGTCCATAAAAGTTTTAGCACAAGTCACCACATCAGACTTTGATAAAATAGGATTTGATGCTCCCCTGTGATGTGGCTGTTGTGGAAAATTCTTTCCAAATCCTACCATGTATGACCTCTGCTGTGGATTTGCTCCCAGTATATAATCCATCTGCATGCCCCACCCATCACTTGATATGTTAGTATGACAGTAACTCTTGGGCTATAATGAAGGTAGTCAATTTTAGATACAAGATAATTGATATGAGTACCTGTTTCTTAGCAAAAGCTAGGAGGTCAGCAGAACCAAATTGCTTGCCACCACAAATAACCTGTTGTTTGTATCTTGCAAGCAAATCACCATAAACACTGAATGCAAAAGCGGCAGCTGTAGCATATTGCAAGTTGGCTCCATCTCTCATGTAAAGCAGTCCTCCTGATGGTCACCATCACCACCAATTATGAAAAACAGCAGCAAGGACTAACATCAGAATGCTGATATAATGTTGGGTATATTACATGAAACATATGCTGTTATGCAAGGATTAACAGGATATGAGCTATGTCTTAGTGAATATAGTAGTAATTATGGGTACCAGGAGTGAAGGGAGCTTGGGCATAAGGGCTTCCGGGGAGTACTGAACATATGTAACTATCAGCCATCTTCTTGTACTCATCCAAGGTCTGCTGCCCTTGAAAATACAGCTGACAACAGAGGATCAACATGGTGATGATTTTTTTTTTTTGAAAAGCAGTCAAGCTTTCATTTTAATTATAATGCAATTACTGATTATATATAGATGTATGTTGCTTTGCAACCTATAAAGGGAGGAAAATTGCAAGACAGCCTTTTATCTGCAGTGAGAACTTACTTCTGTGAGAAGAATCTGGCTTCCGGCATATTTGAGGTCCCAATTAAATTCGCTTATGGTAGCATCAATTGACTGATCCTCAATATAATGGTAGTAGGTTTGGTTCTTGGTGGCCTTGTACAGCCATGTTGCTGCCCATTGCATCTCGTCCTGCATGTACAAAGTTGGCTGCTTTACAAAGCCTAATTATCTGGAATAGAGAAATGCGTAGTCTAGACAGAGAGATAGGAGTTTACATTAGAGCCGGAGAACGAGCAATAGAAGGGGCATTCTCCATCGAAGGTTCCTTTATAGCTTCCAGCAAATCTAAAGAGCTGCACAAAGGGACAAGTGGTGTATGAGACATTGATGCACTAGGTTGATTATTAATATTTTATATCATGCATGCATTACTCGCTATATTATCATGGGGTATGAATTGATGATTTTGGTGACTTAGGGAATATGTGACATTTTCATGCCATATTGCTATGCATCAGAGAAGCAGGAAAATTACTGATTTGGCCTTGTTGAGGAGTCGGTGAGAATATGGCTGATCAGTTTTGCGAAAGACCATGGAAGCAGCAGCCATGGCGGCAGCAGTTTCAGCAGCAATCTCAGTGCCAGGTTTATGTTCGTCAATCTGCAAGACTGGACGTTCAGATTGCATGTTCTCAGGGCGAATCCAACACTGATGATCCACCAGGGGATCTCCAACTTGCACGTACAAGCGGTTGCGTCTGGAGCTACATTTCAGGAAATAATCAGTTCCCCATCTGATGGCATCTCGGACATGTTGGAGCTCCCCTGCAGCCTGCAGCTGAGGTTCATAAAAGATGGCTCCCCATGCCAGTGTTGTTACTGTGAATGCCATTGGTAACCCATACTTTACATTGTCTCCTGCATCGTAGTATCCCCCTACCAGGTCCACCTACATTTATTAATGTAATGTACTAATGTTAAAGACGAATCATTGAATTTATTATGAAAAAAGAATAACTTGTGAATAAATTATGGTCCAATGAAAACCATCTTCTTCTTGATAATTTCATCCTTTTAATTTTTAGGGAAATATACATAGCTATTGAATTTCATTGTTGCTTATATTTTTCATTGTTGCATTTGCATATATGTTTCATTGTTTATGAGAGTTTCATGATTCAAGAGTTGATATTTTAAGTGTGTGAATGTAATTGTTTAAGGGCTAGGGGAGGACGGTTAGAAAGAGAACATATGGCGATAATGATATACATACATTGGCAAGCTTGCCATCTTCGAGGCCAGAATCACCGCGCCAGGGGACCCTGTTAGTAGGAGGCAGCTTTCCTGATCTTTGACATTCTAAGAAAATGATGGACTTGCTTAATGCTTCTTTGTAGTTGAATCCTTGTCCTACCGCCTTCTTGTTTAACACACACAACAACAACACCATTGTTGCCATCCATGGCGCTATAACTTTAGACATAATCTTCATTTAATCCCCCTAGCTGCTTATTTGGGCTTGTAAATCAAATTCCGATGTCTCCTCAATCAATAAGCATATTAAGTGTAAGCATATGTTGATAATTGTTTTATTTTTTTTATTCAAATTTTCTTTATGAAGGGAATGACTATTATTAATGAAGAATTAATTTGAAGAATATAATAATAAAGAATAAAAATGAGATTTTTTTGGAAGGAATGGAAAAACATTGGAAAGATATGGAGGGAAAGTTACAAGGAGAGCCAACCCACTAATAACGGAATCCTAAATTTTCTTAATGATTATGTTATAAATAGAGATTTATCTATTTGTTTCCTTTATTTTTGAGGTATCTACATAAAGGGCAATCCTACAATTACAACCATGTCTATAATCTAGTACACAACTATCTTTTTCCATTTTGGGCCATATAAATAAAAAAAAGTCAAATACCACTCACTTACATGCGTTACAACACTCATATACTCATGCCAACAAAATCAACGATATGCAATAATATATGTCATATGTGTATCAATACACATAATTTCATATGTGTCAATAATGTATAATAATATATGTATATATATGTTTGTAATTTCACGTAATTTGTTAATTTATGATTTTTTATTTATTTATTATATATATATATATATGAATCCACTTATTAAAAAAAATGTTAGATTTGTCATTAAATATTACATCCGTAGTAATTAATTTATTCATTAATGCACTGTAAGACTCAATGCTTAATTCATGTTTTCAGGAGACGACGATGATGTCATCATAAGTTGAACTCACTATAGTTTTTGAATCAAATAAAGTAAGACTTAATCTGAAATGTTTGATGTTTGCGGTATATATGGGTTTGCTTCAAATATCGATACAAAAACCTAGTTTTGCTTGAAATAACGACATCACGGAAATAAGATCTAACAATTCCGAGCTATGGGTTAAGAGGGTTTTTTTTTTTTTTTTTTTTTTTTTTTTTTTTTTTTTTAATTTTTTTTTAATTACAACAGAAAAGTATAATGTATAAATTAATACTTTAGAAGCCGTAAAGGATAAATACATAATCTGAACCACTTGGGGCACAAGGCACAATAATCTAGCCCGGATCCGACCCTACTCCGCCCCGATCCGAGTTAAAATATCCGCTCTGAGTCCGAGAAAAAAGTAATCCGAGTTCGACTTCGTTAAAATAATCCGACTCCGACCCGAGGAGGGTCGGAGTCAGATCCTACAAAAAATCCGAGAAAAAAATCCGACTCCGACAAATGTCCGACTTTAACGGATTATCCGACTCCGACTCCAATATATAGTGGTTTTTTGTGTGGGTCATGGTGGCATTGGGTCATTGGGCGTGGGTTGTAAAGGCCCAAATAGCCCAACATCTCAAAGTATATTGAATAATGAAAAAAAAACTCAGAGTCGGGTCAGATCGGAGTCGGATGTCAGATGTCGGAGTCGGATTTAACCTTCGACTTCCTGTCGGGTCGGAGTCGGATTTAACATAATCCGCTCCGAGTCCGACCGTTGCCATCCCTACCTGAGAGATAACAAGTAAACTCTATTAGAAGTATCTGATTAATAATGATATTCTTTAACTTATTAAGAGTAATCCTATTGAAATACGTAGTTTAAATTAGAAAAAGGAAAAATTGACATTTGCTACCGGCGAAAGTAACTTGTGTTACATTTGCTACCCGTTTAATTATTTTGCTACCACCCAAATCTCTAAAATATTTATTTCACTACCAACTGACTTACACCGTTACTATTTTCGTTAGTTGGGTTTAGCCACCCCTCAACCTCACTGCCACCCCTCCCTTCAACTGCCACCCTCCCCCACCCTCACTGCCATCCCTCCCCTACCGGCACGAACCCACCCCCCTCCCTTTCCACCCTACGCTGCTCCCCTACCCCCAATGCAGCCCCGACCCCCACCTCGAACCAAAACCACCCACCTTTCCCCTTCCCCCACCGGAATCTGCCTCCAGCCTCGTTCCCCCACCTAAATCGACCCCCCTCCCCTTCCCTACCCTTTTCGGCCTTCCCTAGCACTAAACCACCACCCTAAACGAATTTAGAGTTTCGCTTATGGTGGTTTAATGTTAGGGAAGGCCGAAAAGGGTAGGGGGAAGGGGAGGGGGGTCAATTTCGGTGAGGGAACGGGGCTGAGGGGCGGATTTCGGTGGGGGGAAGGGGAAAGGGGGGTGTTTTTTGGGGGGGGGGTAGGGTGGGGGTGGAAGGAAGGGTGGGGATAAGTTTCGTGGTGGGAGAAGGGGAGGGGTGGGAATTGCGTCGGGGAAGTGGGAGGGAGGTGGGAATCGTGGGTGGGGTAATGGGAGGGGGGTGGGTTTCATGGTGGGGGATCGACCGTGGGGAGTGGGTTTCACAATGGGGAGTTGTTGGAGGTGGTAAGGGGGTGCCGGAGGTTGTGCAATGGTGGTTGGCTGGTGGTGCAAAAGTTTATATATTCAAGTAAGATTTAAAAGTTACTAATTACAGTTTACATGAATAATGATGTCATTAAGAGCTTTAGTAGGCTGACTAGGAAAAAAGGTAGAGGTTACTAGAATTAATGAGCTTTAGGGGTAATAATTAACAACCTTTTTTTTAGGAGTAGCACAAAGACCCCTTTCAAGGTAGTAATTTACAAATTTTACAAACTATTAATAACAATCCAACTCTGGTTTCTAAAGAATGCCAACTGAAAAATTAATTGATAACAAGTCAAACAATGGAGAATGAATCAGGCGAGCAACATTCAAAATCCAAACAGATAAAAACGACAGTGAACAAAGGGGTTATCTCAGTCCACCCATCACTTAAATAACACTAAGACATACACACAGGACACATCTGCTCAGGATAGCAATCCATTGGATTGGATGTGATTTACCTTCTATAAATCGAAACCTGCCTAAAAACAAGATATATACCTATTCCCTTGATGTACCCAGGATCCCTGAAATCATAGGCTATGCATGTCCCAAGTCATTAATCCTGGCAATTTTTGTTGATACAAAGCTTTTCTGTCTCTCTTTGATCAACAAGGAGCTCTTCTGTTGCTTGAAAGAATCATTGATATTTCATGTCTTTTCAACTATGAAAGAATATAGCATGCCAACAAGCCCATCACTAGAGTAGCAGCTGCATGTTGGAAATTGGAAGTCATAGCAGCGAAGGATTCTTCTAAATCCTCAACTGAGGCAAAAGAATACTGTAACCTTTCAAGGAATGACATTGCAATCACTTAAAAATTGATCTTCTCGGTTCAAAAACTTAAACCATAAACTTCTGTATTTAGGAATGCCTAGCTCAAGCCAAGGTTTCATGTTCCCATTGTAATGCAACACTGCAAAATTTTTGATAAATTGTAGATTGAGGCCATAATCATGACCCAAACCTGACAAAACCCACGTATCATCAAGCGCATAAACCTGGTCCTGAAATGTAAGCAAGCTAGCCTTGGATGCAGTAGCTTCATGCTGTCTACTTTTCATTGTAAGCTGTAAATTGGAAAGGGTCAATAAGTAATTACCGGCACACAAACAGAAGTATATAGCTGCAGATATGATGCTACCTCTTTTTTAATAAAGCTTTCCTACTATGGAACATGGAAGCCAAAAAGGTTGAACAAAAACAATGGAAGCGAGGAAATATTTCCAGGCATAGAGAGGAAAACTGGAAAAAGAATTCAACCCAATCCAGATTCCAGTGCACTACAAAGGAGCCTACTGCCTACCCCACGGAAATATGGAATGGCAAGTAGAAAAATCATACATACATACATAAAGAAAAAAAAAAGAAAGAGTAGAATTTTTTTCAGTTAAACAAGGATGATCAGACAAGAAAGATGATTAGATAAATCACTTCAGGGAAACTCAAAATGAAAACCTAAAATCCCCTTCATTTCAGACCCACACAAAAAAGGAAGAGGGGCAAGCACACCCCCTTCATTTCGGACCCACACAAAAAAGGAAGAGGGGCAAGCACACCAGCACACATGCTTCGTTCATGCTCTAATACATACAAATATCAATTTCAGATCAGAAGACCCCTATATCCGACAATGCTCAACCATAACAAAAGAAAGTGTTCAGGTAAAAGAAAATAAACTCACCTCTTCTACCATTCTTCTGAATATTCCAGTAAGATTAAGGTCCCTCCACCTAGCCAAGTCAATCACGTTCAATCCAGACATCCAGGCACAAGAATTTCTATTGAAATTGGTTCTACCTAGATAATTCTCCAGCTGACCCAACCTTACTGCACAATTCTCAGCAGCACCATTGACCATCCCTCCCATGTTGATTCTCCATAATGCTGACAAGTCTTGCTGAACAACAACATCATCATCCAGAACAACAATTTTGTCCAAAATTTTGAATATTTCCGGAAGGAAATAGTGTGCATGAGAAAATAGGGAAACATATTGTGTCTCATAATGCATCTTTGGAAACTTGTGAGATTGAAAGGTAATACGAGATTCCTCAGGCAATGAGGAACCGGGTATTATATTGTACTCTTCAATATTCAATACTTGAATTGAGGCTTTCTTGAACATATTTCTGACAAACCATAGCTTCATAGCATAAAAATTCTGTCTGTCTGTCAGGACATGAAAAACCAGCTTCGAACTCTCCTGAAAAGAAGTCAGTTGTAAACATCAAAACAAATAAAAAAGATAGTACGATTTGAAATGAATAAAATAAACATAAGAGAAGAGAAATTACTTTAGCATGTACAACTGTGGAATTAATTGCAACAGAAGATGCTAAAATGTTGTTGGAGAAGATAACATAATGATACAATTTTGGATCTACATATTTCTCTGTCACTGAATCTTCCAGAACCTCAGAGGAAGTGTGGAAATACTCAACAGTTAATCTCATGGACAGGCAATGTAGAGATTTTGGCATTGTCTGGACAGCAAGTTGATAAAGAAAGGCACTTTGCTTCGT